GCCGCCGCGACTGCTCGGCAGCAGCCCGGCGCCGCTCCCGCCCGCGGCGGCACCGCACTGGAGTTACTGCCTTCGAGCAGTTTCCGCTCTGGTTTTCAGTGAGGAGGGAGGTGTAGGGGACAGGGGGTTATTTTGAGGGGATGCTGAAAAAGCCGTTGCCTCTCCTGTAGCACATTGCCTAGGCGTTCCTATTATGGAAGTTAAGTGAGAAACTCTGCAGCTTGAACTGATTTGGTAGAGAAAGGGAGAGAAAAGGGTAGGGGGAGGGCTAGGGAAAACAAAATAGCCAAACCAAGCCAATGATTTTCCTGCAAAGTGCCGGGAAGTTTGTGGAGCACTTTCTAGGAATCGGCTCCTCTCTCAGAGTCTCTCCTTGTCTTCCGAAGAAAGAGCTTGCTTTTGGATTGCCATGGATCCTAAAGAGAGTCTTAGACACACTTGAATAATTCCTCTGCTTGGGCTGGATTGGTGGAAATTTAGGAAGGAGCGTGTGTGCAAAGCAGAAGCTTTCGGAGCTCGCTTGCTGCTCTAATCTGTATGGATCTAAATGTGTCACATTCAAGACCTTTGCATCTGCAGCTTTTGATTTCAAGAATTCCCTTTCCACTTTAAGTAGCTGCTAGGAAACTGAAAACTTTTGGACCTACCTCTTACTGGCTTTGGATACTTTTTTTTTTTTTTTGGATCTGTGTGGAATTGGTTTCGCAAACGATCGGGATTGCTTTTAATATGTCAAAATGGGTCTGCTGACGCCACTCCTGCTCTTTGGATTTGCATTTTTTCAGGTCTATGGTAAGTTCGCTTATTTTAGATATGCCATTTCTGTGCAGAAATCCCCCTCATCTGAATCTGATTTGGGACAGCACATGGACGGCATTATAAGCTTTAACATTACAGAGCCTTAAGTTTGTTTCTGGTATGAAAATGGTATGTCGGGGCGGGGAGAGGGAGCAATGTGTGTTTCCAATAAGCAGTCCTTCCCGTCTGCTAACTTAATGGAAAAGCAGCTTATGAATGGAAGAATGTCAGCTTGAGGTAGTGAGGAAAGAGTAAAAACTACCGCGCTAAACCTTTTATTTCGGCGGGGCGGGGGGGGAAGGAGAAAGGAAAGGCAGAGAGCTGTTGTAGCTGATGTTACTTTGGCTCCTTCTATTGTTAAACTTTCCGTCGGGAGAGCCAGCTGATGAAATAAATGGGTTAGCTTCGCCTCGGCTCCAGGTGAGGCGAACTGGCGAATTTCCAGAGTCCCTACACGCCTGCTCGGGCGCTGGCGAGCGGCCGGTGAGTCAGGCAGGGCGGGGCGGGCGCGCGGGGCACAGCCCCAACCCCCCGCCGTCACCCCCACCCACCCCCGCGGGGCCGGGCAGGTGCGGCGCGGCCGGCCGCCACCGTGGGGCGGGAGGGTCTTCCCGTCGTCTTCCCCCTCACCCCCTCGTGACGGACTTTCCGGAGGGAGCGTTGTGAGGAAGCTTAGCAACGTCTGGGGGAAAGGGTGGATTCCCCCTCCGCCCCGGACTCTATTCCCCCCCCCCCTTTGGGTCTGCTCTGCGACACTTCTTGCAGTTCTCAAGTTCAAGTAATGGATGGGGAACTATAAATTAGCATCTTAAGGAAGTACGCTTCACTAGGGCGAGAACTCCAGTGCGAGGGTAAATTGTCTTTCAAAGTAGGGGTTGGCGCTGTGCTGCAGCATCGACCTTACAAGCACACAACTAGGAAGCGAGCATCTGTGACAGCATACAGTTCTACATGAGTGTGTGCTGGGACCAAATGCTAGGCAGTCCCCCTAGTATTGAGTATTTGCATCTCTAAACAGTCTTTTAGACTTCAGGTGAATTTAATGCCTGGGGACCCTGGCTGGCTTTGCCTGCCTGTTAGAACAAACTTGGTTCCAGGAAGCTGCTTACAGCATTTACTCTTATCAGTCCTGAAGCAAGGACTCTAGGTTTATTGTTTGCAGTCACAGGCTGCTTTGGGTCTTTCTCCCCCTCCTTTCATCTTCCCCCACCTCCTAGCAAGAAAGGAGGCAAAACAGATGAGAAGGAGACATTCAAGTACGGTTTTACATTGGTTGCATAATATGCTGTGTTCAGTTTGGTCTACCGATGAGAAAATTTCTGCATAATGTATGTACAAGCTAAACAGCAGGAGGTTTTAATTGTGAAAGGATGTAATGGAACATTTGTGTCTATCAGCATGGTCATAGTTTTGTGGGGATTTTGTTTTCTGTTTGCTTTATTTTTCCTACTGTAATGTGTAACATATTTTGATCCTTATCTCCCATACTGGTGGTCTTGAAGTTACCTTTGTATACAAACTGAAAACATCAGGCTGTAGAAATGTAATTATTAGTAAGTGTTTAAAATTGTATGTAGCTAGAAGGAATACAATTAAAGTGTTCAATGGAAGTGACAGAGTGAATCTAGAGGAGCTTGGTATTACAGAATGTAATTAATGTACCAGGCTGTTTGGAGATATATGAAACAAATGCAATTAACCAGTTTGCTGGAACGACAGGAGCAAGACATAATTTATTCTAGTTTTGTCACAGGGACCACAAGTAGAACCTTTGTTCTGGTTCAGCCTTATAGGACAAGGGTGGGGGGTGCAGGTGAAGCACATAGCTAATTTAGAGCTGGACCACTAGAAAAAAATGCCAAGGAACTGCCCAGAATAGATGTGATCCTCCCCTTTTGTGGGAAGATATTGCAGAGACTGTCAAGTTTGCCTACATTAACAACTCAAATAAATAATAAATAGCCTTGTGGATAGCACATCATGACCAAGTAGATACAAGCTGTTACTGTTGTAATGACTAACAAGTAGCTTTGAAGAAATACTGGCGTGCAAGCTTGGCACACAGTACTTTTGTCTCTTTAGAAGCATAGTAATTACGATTACACCTTAGGGTGACATATACCACCAGTTGCTTTGAAAAGATATATATATCAACATTAGCACTATTTGTAATGTTTTAATTTAAGAACAAAGGCAACACCCAATAGACCACTTGTTTAATAGGTCCTTGGTTTGTTTTCTACGTTTGAAAGTTACCTTTTAGTGCATTTCTGGGTTTGAGAGTTTTTTGTTGTTGAGTTTGGGGCTTTTTGGGTTTTTTTTGTTCTCTTGGCATCAGGTCCAGACAGAGAGAGACACTGTAGCATTTGAGGCATGTTAGCCATACTTTTCCCTGTGGTGTTAGTTTTGTTTAGTGATTCAAAAGTGGTATTACACAGTGCATAATGGTGTAGATCAAAATGATAGTTTTTTCTTCTGAAGTTATTTTCTTTGTCTGTGCTTTTATGACACCTGGAAATTGCAAAGCTCAATGAAAATGGCAGAAAGCATGTGATATATATATATATTTTACTTTATTTTTTTATTATTGTGCTTATGATTTTCCTGTAGACCTGCCCATGTTCTTGCAGTCTGTTCAGGGAATGACTGTAATTCTCTTTTTCTTTAGCTATCAATCTTACTTACTGTTCTTGAAAAAACAAGCAAAAAATCAAATGCACAAAACCAACCCCAAACAACAAAACACTTTGCTAGACAGAGTCTGTACCATAAAATAAAACACTAGCTGTTAGAGTTAAAACAGCTGATTACATGTTTGAGGTTTTTTTTATAGTGTTCAATTGATTTTTCTTTCATTGTTATGCATTTCTTATTATCTTTCTTCCAATCATTAGTAAAGCTTGAAAGAATGGATATTAACAGAAAAGTTCACAACTGCTGTAAACACAGGTGTGTGGATGTTACCACAGATACTAGTTTTAGTGGGCCAAACACTAGTTTTAGTGGTCCAAGCTCTGCCCTGGTAGGACTCATAGTGCTTTCAATGAAAATGACAACCTTTTATGTCAGGGCTGGCTTTTGGCCATTGTCCCTTGAAAACTGCAAGTGTGATGCTCTTGAATGTGTGATGGTGTTAAAGGTATATGAGAATAATTCTGTAAAAGCAGCATTTTTATCTCTGTATTAGTGTATTTCAAAAGCACTTATTTCACTTATTTTCTTAATGAAAAGTATGTATCTGAAACAGTGGGGTGGCTCAAGCATCCTGTCTTTTCCTTCATTTTTTTTCTTCTTTTTCTTCTAAATTCATTTTATTTCTTCACACCAGTGAGCTACACATCTGTGGCCTTGTGCAGGTCTCTGTTGCCTATCAGAGAACATGGCTTACATATAAAGCTAGAGTATATTCTTCCAGTGACTATTTGAGCTGACAGGGTCTTGATCTCTCATGTGAGTTTTGCTGTTGATGGATAACCTTTGCTTCTGTGGAATGTGTGCATTTGAATGCATTAAGAGTGAAATTCTGAAGTGGAGTTTGCGGTGTTGTTTCCTTTAGCTTGTTCTTCCATAGGACCCAATTCTGCAGAACATTTAAGTGAGTGCTTCCATCTCTTATCCAGAATCTTACTGAAGTTAATAAGAATTCAAACATGTGCTCCCAGTTAATCCTATGCTTTAAAACTTTGCTGACTAGGGATGAATTTATGCCCATCCTGAAACATTTTGCCGAATTAGTCTTAGTATTTTGCTTTCTTTGCTTCCTGTCTGGTAAGTTGTTATTGCAACAACATATGTGTATGTGCAAGAGACAGGCAATGAGGCAATCCTGTCATTGCACTTCCAGAGAGGGATATGTTTGAAACGTAGTGTGATAATCCAAATAATTTGTTTTGTTCCTTTGCTAATTTGGTAGGCTGCAAAAGGTCTGATACCCCACAATCCTTTCAGAAAAGTTAGAATAGGGGTTTTTAAACTTTTCTGTGAGCTGCACTTACTACAATAATCCTTCCCTTAGGATCTTTCTGGAATGATGAGGTTGAGGTTGCTGAAGGAAAATAAGTTTTGGCAAGGCAGGCTAAAGATATGTAACCTTAAAAGTAGACAAAAGGATTTAAGTATATTTTTAAGGATGCATAAAAAAGCATCAAGGAGATGCACCAAAAAATTCAGAGAGAGGAAATGGAGGCTTTAGCTAGTCTGTCCAGTTAACTCTGTTTCCAGGAGTTGCTTTTCTACAGCAGTGCTATGTAGACTCATAGCACAAAATTCAAGATGTGCTCTGTCTGCTGCTGAACCATTTAGTGGAAATTACTAAAGAGTATGCAATGGCTTTTTAGCCATTTGCTCTCCTTGAATTGCTATTCAAATATTGATCTCGGCTAAATAGATTGCTAACAGGTTCTGTACATTCTGTTTCAGCCACCTAAGAGGAACACTGCTGTCAGGTTTTATCTGTTATCTCAGATGGCATGGCAGAGGTTGCTCTTCCTGTGGCTGCCATCTGGCTCACCACTCTCATACCAACCTTGTGGAGGATACTTAGTAACCATATTGATGCTTTTTCTTGCCAAGAGGCTAGGTTACTGGTGCTTTTTTCTACATTTCTATAGAAATCTCTTTATTTTGTGTGCAGAAGAAAGCAAGTATTCGCTCTTGCCAAATAAATAAATGTGTTAGTTTTTTTGTTTCTGACTGAACAGACATTTCTTACATGTAACTGCTGAATTTTTACAGCACATTTATTGTTACGCAAGCTTTCTTGTACTTACATTTTTATAGTACGTCTTGTATACTCAAAAAAAATTCCATTAAATTTTGGTACGTAGAAGAGTACAGAAGCTGATCTTAAATCACTGCTTCAGAGAGAATGTTGAGGATACCTTTTAGACAGGACTAGTCATGTGGACAGTTAGTTATGAGATCATTGAATGCAAAATTATTGCACAGAAATAAAGATTTGTGGATGTAGATTGTAGTCTCATCATCTTTACTTT